AATGGATTTCACACACAACCCTCCTCCACGACCTCACTGTAAAGAGGTATTAGCCGGTGCTGTTTTACGAGCTCAACAATGCGACGCTATACTGCATATTTCCATTAATAGTGTGGCCACAATTATAAGAGCCTGAAAACAGCAACAGAAGAAGTGAGAGAGAAAAAGAGATCTGGTGATATGAAGATGGTAAAACTGATTTGTTATAACCTTTTTGGTTTGATCAGGTTGGAAAAAACTACACAAACCAGCACTGACACTATACACAATTGCATATTCTTACCTAGTCCACATCTCCAAAGCGTGAAAACACACTCTTTAATTCACTGGCCCAGTCTTGTTTAAACTGGGAAGGCTGAGTAACAGCCTTTTTTTATTTTCTTTAGGGTTAAACCCAGAGAATATGGAACTCCAGGCCTCGAGAGCCGGTGTCCTGCAGGTTTTAGATGTGTCCTTGATCCAACACAGCTGATTTAAATGTTAAACTATCTCCTCAACATGTCTTGAAGTTCTCCAGAGGCCTGGTAATGAACTAATCATTTGATTCAGGTGTGGTGACCCAGGGTGCGATCTCAAACCGGCTCTCGAGGACCAACGTTCCCTACCCCTGGTTTAACCCAAGGACTAAAAATCTACCTGTTTATACAAAAGACTTTCTTTTGGGCCAAACAGGCCTTGAGTCTACAACATCTTGTTCTAACTTTAACTCTTTCCCCCTTGGACACAAGTAGGGATAACCCTTGTTTTTCTTTTCTGAACTCAGCAGTTTGTGTCATATTTCAGGTCTGCTTCTAGAACAAAATGATTGGGTATCAGAGAGTGAGAGTGATCTCTGCCTCTACAGTTTACTAGGGCTACCCTTGGAAAAACCCAGAAACTGTTCTAATGGTTACAAATGTCATCTTTATGGGATGGTACCATGGTTAGCACTCTAATCTCACAGGAAGAAGGTCAGTGGTTTAAGCCCTGACTGTGTTTTTCTGCGTGGGGTTTTCTCCGATATTCTCCCACAGTCCAAAGACATGGGGTGTGTACTGAGCCCTCTCCTGTACTCACTCTACACCTACGACTGCATGGCCACTAACAACTCCAACATCATTGTGAAGTTTGCGGACGACACTACAGTGGTGGGTCTTATCACCAACGGTGATGAGACGGCTTACAGGGAGGAGGTCAGCGCCCTGACCCACTGGTGCCAAGACAACCATCTCACCCTCAACGTCGCAAAGACAAAGGAGTTGATAGTGGACTTCCGGAGGTGCAGAGAAGTACACACCCCCATCACCATCAACGGTGCTGCTGTGGAGAGAGTGAGCAGCTTCCGGTTCCTTGGTGTACATCTGGCTGAGGATCTTACGTGGTCAGTACACATAAACAAAACAGTGAAGAAGGCGCAACAGCGCCTCTTCTTTCTCAGGAGACTGAAAAGATTCGGCATGAACCCCCGCATCCTCAGGACCTTCTATCACTGTGCCATTGAGAGCATCCTCACTGGGTGCATCACCACCTGGTATGGCAACAGCACCGCCTACAACCGCAAAGCTCTCCAGCGAGTAGTGCGGTGCTCTGAACGGATAATTGGAGGTGAGCTTCCCTCCCTCCAAGACATCTACAGGAAGCGGTGCCTGAGGAAAGCGGGGAGGATCATCAAGGACTCCAGTCACCCCAGCCAGAAACTGTTCAGACTACTTCCATCAGGAAGGAGGTTCTGCAGCATCCGGTCCCGTACCAGCAGACTGAGAGACAGCTTCTTCCACCAGGCCATCAGACTGCTGAACACTTCATAGACACCTCACCTCCACTACTGGAACTTCAACATTTTGCACTCCATACTGTACAGTAATGCCACTGTTTTGCACATGTCTCAACTCTGTATATTTTTATATATTTTATTTATTGTTGACTCTATTTAATTTGTAAAATATGTGTATACACACACACACACACACACGTAGAAAAACATTTAGTATACACATCCAGAATTTTTTATTTATTTATTTATTTTTGCATATACTATTATATATTGTACATATATTTATTAGTTTCAGATTTAGCCATTCGTATATTTTGCCTGTTTACGTTATTGTATTTTGCACAACTCTGTTGCTTGTGAAGCTCGCACACAAGAATTTCACTCGCATGTGCTGTACCAATGTACCAGCACATGTGATGTGACAATAAAAGTGATTTGATTTGATTTGATTTGATTTGCATGGTCAGTTATATGATCAATCAAGTGCTGTTTGAATTATTTGAATAAATACTCAAATTGAGGCCAAAAATGTGTTTCACAGGGTCATAAATACCTTCAGCCCTTGATCACAAAACTGAGTTTATTCAAGTTTGTTGTGAAATCCCAGAAATGCATTCAAGAGATCTCCCGTTCACACGAATTAGATCGATGGTAGACAACCAGGAGACATGTTATCATAAAGTATCAGTAAAATATCTCAAAGTGGGCTCAATCAAATTCCTGACAGCAAGATAAAAAAAAACTGAACTTGTTTTAGGCCAAACAGGTCAGACCTACTGTATCTATTTAATACCTCTGTCCTGTCTCGTCTTTTGATTTGCCCTAACAGGGTTTTCTTGAGAACTAAATCTACTTAGGATTTATTGTTTCTTATTGTTCCTCATCATTGGAAAATTATAATCCATTCACCTAATCTCTTACTACCTCCCTCTCTTTTAGATCATATTCATCAAGATCATCCCCTCTGACAGAGCAAGAAATCAGCACAACGGGGAGGTCTAAAGAGATATCGTACTGGAACAAGGGGGTTTCTTCCAAATCAAATCAGGTTCCTCTGATGTAATCAAGACGAGACGCCAGAGACGACCGCATAATCTCCCAGGGACATGCTTCCCTTGCTTGCCACGTTATTAAAAAATGAGGAGGAACAAATCTTTAGATTGAAAGACTGGAAAAATGGAATTATAATAAATCGGGGGAATCTGGGGCAAGGTTGGATAAAGCCTTCAGATACAGATGAGGGGCAAATCTTCACAGTGGTTTGTGCTTGTATGTGCGTGCATGTGTACGAGAAAGCGAGCAGGCACGCGCACATGTACTGTAATGTTTGGGAATGGTTGGTTATGAAATATTTCAATTTGCTCAAGATCAAGTACCTGACCTGAGCTTGTCTGCACTAGTGGGGAAAAAACAAAACAACCTCCCCCGAAAAAAAAAAACCCCCACAGGAGTCCTAGTTGTCCAATCAGATAATCTGTCTGTATCTAAGGTAGCTTGTGGACTGTGATGCTTCCTGAATGGGTTCTCAATCACTTGAGGCTGTGCTTACAATAAAGCACCACATGATGGCACAATGTGACAAATGTGGATGCCAGATAGAAAAGGAAAACTCTCTCTCTCTTAATCTGGGCATTCATGATCTCCAAGATGAATAATGTCCCACTTTTATTACACAAAGTAATCAAATATTATTATAGCTAAATGTTTAACTTTATTATTTTTATGGTAACTTCAAAAAACAGCGCCCACAACTCAACGACTTAACCTGTACCACAGCGTGAGCATCAAGTGTCAAGACCTTCCTGGCCTTTACCACCAGATGGCCTTGTTGAATTGCACTTAAGAACATAACACTGTGGATCTACTGCAGGCCATACATATGTCTTACACCTTTCTTGTGTATTCATAGTCCATTAAGATATGCAGCACAGGAAAGAAAAAACTGAAATAGTGAAATAACTGAAAATAAGAGAACTGGTTATTGTTCCAATACAATGATTAGCTATACCACAAATTAAAAGGATTAAGAAACTCTTAAAAGCAACACCTTCTGCACAGGTGACTGAACAACCAGTCGTGGTTATTATATAGTTAACTAAAACTAAGCTCAAATAATTAGATAATCAAAAATAAAAACTTAAAAGAAAATAAACACTGACCAATATAATATTTTTAATAAATCAAAACTAAACGAGACTTAACAAACTTAATGAAGAGAAATTTTATATTCATACATACCCAGCAGGTCCCTGAGATCATGTGATTGGGGCCTGCAGGCTGTGCAGGATCTCTCCCACTGAGCTTAAGAACTTTTGACTCTGTGGTATTTGTGCCATTTATACTGAAAGGTGATACATAAATGAAACATTACTTTACCTTTTACTTTCAGAAGGAGCCAAATCACTCTGATAACTAAATTAAAAATAAATTGGTTATGATTCTCACTTATAAATTTAAAGTTAAGTAAATAACTGATCTACGCACACCGGTCACTTCACTTCAACAACTCATCAACACTGGTCAGAGAAGACCAGACTGCTCTGAGCTGAAAGGAAGGCCACACCAACTCAAATAACCTCCTGTTACAACCAAGGTATGCAGAAGAGCATCAGTGAATGCACAACAAGGCAAATGAGCTACAGCAGTAGAAGACTACACTGGATGATACTCCTGCCAGCTAAGAAGAGGAAACTGAGGCTATAATTGGCACAGGCTCACCAAATTTGGACAAAAGAAGAATGTGGTGTATCCTGCCCTTTATTAACGCCTCGGCCTCATGGTAGTGCTGTAAAGATGTGGGCGACATTTTCCCTGGCATACTCAGATGCTCTCCACAAACACCAGAACAAGAAACGTGGGACAAAAGTCTGTGAGCAATGTTTCCAGCAACTTAGCAACGCTGGGGTTAAAGAAAGCTCAACTGCACTGAAGATGTATCAGAGAGAAATGTATCGGTGAATTTGTAAAACATTACTTGACGCCAAAGAGAATCCATACCTTTCACGGAGATGAAGAGCTCAACATCACACCTGCAGGAATGCGGAATGTTTCACGTTAATCATACTAATTTCCTGTTGGGTGTAATGTTGTAATGTTGATTGTCGATTGTTACTCGTTTAACTCCGTGTCCACTAGGGGCGATGTTGCACTCATTTTTGGTTGCTCCACATATCTTTCAAAAACCTGGGGGGGTGGGGAGGATGGGGTGGACAAGTTCAGTGATGAAGACATTTACACTTGTGAGGGCATGAGTGACTTTTGCCAAGAGGCTTAACACTTTAATAGCTGTAAAATCGCTGTGTAGCTCCGAAAACCCATCGGCTGCTTGTTTGCTGGGTCCATTCTGTGCCTGGATGCCACTGTGAACTATTATTGGGATGGTAACGCCCTAACACTTGATGCCACATCCCCCTTCTCTTCCAAGTCTCTGGGCTCATTCTGAGAGAAGACACCCCGGGCAGAAGGCACAATGATGGGCAGCATCAAAGGACTCGAGAGGTTTGACAGCCCGGGGAAGGGACGAGGGCTCCGGGTAACCAGACCATTTAAAGTTGGAGAGCTCCTGTTTTCCTGCCCAGCCTACTCCCACGTGCTGTCAGTGAAAGAGAGAGGCTGCTACTGCGAGTTCTGCTTCACCAGGTTAACACTTTGGCAGTGCATCTTTTTCTCACCTCATTAAATGTATACATATATAAGCGCATTCTCTTAGGAAATTACAAAGCCACTGTGATGTTTTGTTTTGCTTTTTACTGGAAATGTGCTTATTAGTAGTTAGGACGATGTGAATTGTAACTAATGCACTACTCCTTTTTCCTGCAGGATCATATAAATTCTGCATATTTAAACACAAATATCGGTGCTTGTGCTGTCTGACATTTTTGTTTCTGCATGCAAGAAATTTGAATAAATGACTGCCAGTGCATCTTCTGAGCTGCCAGGTTGCAAGACGTATTGGGGAGAAAATGTAGCTTGATCATAAAAGTTAGCTTCACAGTTACAAACAGATGTTGAATGGCCATTTTAACATCCTATTTACACAATAATTGTCATAAATAGAGACCCTAAATCAACCACCAGAATCTGTTATGCCATATTCAAAAGCCAGCATCTCATATAAGCCCCAAGCTGCAGGTTTAATATTTGTGTTTATTTTGACAGTCTAGTAAGATCTGGCTAACAAAATGTAGAGACTGTTGGTCAGTTGCCAAGTGTTTTAGGAATTAAAAAGATATTTTTACTATTTCTAGAATTTTATTTTGAAAGTCTGTCAAACTTCTTGTAACACAGGAAGTTCCTTTAACTTTAGTTTTTGGCACTTAAAATTGTAAAGTAGCAAGAGTAAAGGTATGCCACATTATACATAGCCTGTTCCACAAATTTGCAACATATATGCAATTTAAAGTGAAAAAATATAGTCTGGTAATATGTTATCACAGTGTCCGGGCTTTAATCATGTCAATCTAAGAGATGTGTGACATATTCTAGCAGAAAAGTAGAAGAAAAGGGGTTTGGAAAGGCTTTTAATTAACTTTCAGTTTGGAAACAGAACCTGTGGAGGCAGATCTGTTCATAAATTGGTTCGACATACTGAAAGATCATTGTTGATCAAGAACCATTAAAATCAGTTGTGTAAAGCTTGCTTTAACTCAACAATTGAGCAAAAGACAGCATCCTAGAGACAACGTCCTTTGTGACTTGCTCAACTTTACACAGTTCAGTGGTAAGTTGACCCCTGAGTTACAGTTGCTCTTTGCAATAGGTAGTTTTAGTGTGTCATGCTTTCCCACTGGTTGCTCCGGCCCGTAAGTGCCTTATGTAAACCTAGTGTGACTGCGGATGGTAAGAGCCTCAGAATTATACTGGTGAACTTTTTGGCAGCTTTACTGATTCAGTGTGTTAAAAAGACAGCTGGCCTGTCAGAGGGTCTGCTCTATTAATACCACAGTAGGTTTTAAAGCCCTCCATTGCTATCAGTTACAACAAGCTACTAGCAACTGCTATTTCATGTGTCAAAGTTATGGAGCAAACATTTAAATGTCTATACATGCACAACTGAATACTATTATGCTACTACAATTCAGTATTACATAACCAGATGCATTCTTGTGGATATGTTGGCCCTTTAAAAATAAATGGTGCAAAGATGTGTACGGTCTCAGGGTGATTTCTTTTATATCAACTCAGTGCCATCCGCAGGGTAATAAAAAAAAACTGTTTTTGTAATTTATAGGACACAGCATTTGGCAAGATGTGGGAAGTGCAAGAAAGCCTTCTACTGCAATGTGAAATGTCAGGTAAGAAAACATCCTGCAAAGTCACAGCTCTTGTGTGAATTCTTTAAAGTGCACTGCGCAATAATTTAAAAAAAAAACACATCTATATTAAAACTTGGAGCTTAAAAAGTCTATTCCAGTAGTCATAAAGCCAGGGTACATCGCTGACAGGTCGCCTGTCCACCAAAGGGGCCAACACATGGAGAAAGCACAAACCCACAAGCACAAACCCTCACATCTCATACTTACAGCCAAAATAGATCTACCAGTTGGACCGTGGGAAGAAACCTACACAGGCATGGGGCCTCTTTGAATCATTCAATTTGAACCCAGAACCCTCTTGGTTTGCTAACCACTGTTCCATGCACTGCATTCACTACATATGTCATCATTATTTTATGGGTAAACATGACATCTAATCAATGTCTTTAGGCTCTTCAAATGTAAATCCTAAGAAGTGTAAAATGACAAAAAAAAATGTGCGACTGTAGAGAGGACAAACAAGTGGCGACACATCATCAAGCTAAGCTCTATATTTCTGCTTCAGTACTACTAAAGGTACAGTTAACAATAAGTGATAAAAGCCAAAAAGATTTTCAAATTATCCTGCTCTTGCAGCTCTGCTCTCAATGTTCCTCCCAGCAGACAAACGCAGGCATTTGCAGATGCTTCATGTGCACATATAAACAAAGTAAGTCAATTATAACATTTGATTTTATGTAAGATTGAAACCTGATTCTCCTTGGTGAAAGTCATCAGCTTAACTCATTGCACCATGAGAGCTTAGCTTACATCTTGAAAGGATTTCTACGATCTTTAGTTAAATATCTCAAAAGACCTGCTATTGGCCAAAGTCTCCCAACATTTGCTCAATTATTTTAGCCTGAAAACAGATCCCAGAGCAGGTGTACTCGTCTAGTTCTCTCTCAGACCTGTCAAATTAGAATTTAGTTTTCATATCCAGTGTCCAATGACATAAATATATCATTCATGTGTCTTCTAATGTAGTCTCAGCAGATGTACAGCTTAGCTGAACTTGGTTGTTCTATGCACTTCTATATGCATGCATAGCATGCTCTATTATGGAGTGTGTAGGATGCAGTGTTGTTTATAAAGTTGGGGACTAAGCAGATAATTGAGTGGGCCATTCCATGTTGGAGGAGTGAAGAAGCAAGGGTAACATTAGATTAACAGAGTGCCAGCATGCCACCATGCTACAGCTTAATGCCACAGCTGGTGGTGTCGCTTAGGGGTTGCCAACTGTTAGGCCTTCTGTTGTAGTGGTACATAAACTGTCAATAGTTGACTGAATTGAATGTACTCACATTTCACTTGGCCATAAAGTAAAGAGGGGCTTTTTGTTTTTTTATGCTATTATTGCATTTACGCGCTCCTTAGAAAGGGGACTGGGCCATGCACAAGCTGGAGTGTTCGGCAATGGTTGCTTTTGGAGAGAACTGGTGCACGTCAGAGATATCCAGGCTGGTGGCGCGAATCCTTGCAAAGAAGGTTGGGCAGTTAATAATACATAAAATACAATAATCTCTTTTTTAATCGCTGTCCAGAGTTTCTTAAGGTCATTTCTGCTAAACATGTCTATTTTCTGCAGAAAATGCAGAAAGAACGATGCGTTTGTGAGAAGATGTTGCTCATAGGAGAGATGCAATCACGTGAGTACTTATTTCTTTACAACACAAGGAGAAAAAACATACATGATTTCTTGATGGTGACTTGGCTGTGGTTGCTCTTTATGAACTACACTTATCTAGCCACCTGTGTAGTGTCTGTGCAGAAACACTCTACAAGTCAGTCCAAGAGATCCCTAGATACCCTCAAGATATCTCAGAGAAAAATCCACTGAGAAACACCCTCAACCACATCTATATATACCCTATAGATGTGGGTCAAGTGGTGTCCAGACTACATAACAAGTGTAAATGCTTGAACGTGAAATAGGAGCTCTTGGGAACACAGCGCAGATTGCATAAGTGTCTCTCAAGTCAAATGATGTTTGACCAAGTTAACAAGAAGAAACTTATAGTTCTTAGTGCAGTGCAAACCATTAAAAATGCATTTAGTTAATTTATGTGAAAATCCAAATAAATCATGTAAACGCAAATAGAGTTCAGTACAAGTGGATCCGTTTTTAGTGGCTTAACAAACAAAAAAAATGGTCTGGTACGAGGACTGGGCTGAACATTAGTTCAGAGTTCAAAGAAATATTTAATAAAAACTCAAATGTAACCAGAGCTCAAAAATATATTAGACTTAAGCCTCGACATTACTGATAAGACAGGAAAATAATAGGAATCCACACACTTTAGACCTCTCTAGACCCATCAACATGTATAACCAAACAAAAAAGAAAATCTTAGGGTGAAAAAAGCACAGCACCGTGAAACCAGTGAAACAATAAATTATTTTAAATGAAACCAAATTCTTTTATTGTAACAGACACAGAGGATGAAGATAATGAGAAAAGAGAGATGACCGAGGCAGACATTGCCAGATTCCATCGCTTTTACTCCAAACATCTGGATGTGCCGGACCACAAAGAGCTACTCACGCTCTTCTCCCAGGTAATGCGTTGTTACACCATGTAATTTTGATACAGTGAGGACTTTAAATATCAAAAATAAATGCAGGTATTGTGGTATGAAGTAGTAAAAGTTTTCTGTATCTGTCCTTGTGGCCACTGAGCTGAAAGGGGTGTTATAAAAGTGGTGCAGAGGGTGGTAAGCAATGTTCCCTCTAAGCTGGGCACGTGCGCAATTGCGCACTGCTGGCATGGTCTCTGCGCACAGAAAATCTGCGTTGCGCACAAAAAAAATCTAACCTGAATTGAAATTAAAATTAATACTTCAACAATCCTGTTTTGCAGTGTTAGTCAGTGAGTGACTGGCTGCTCCCATTTGGGATTAGAACGATGCCACCTTATCCCATAGTTCAGCCAATAATGCGTATATACGCAGCCAATCAACGCCATTGACAGGCTATGACAGCGTCCTTATGTGCCGACACCGGTGTTTTAGCTGGCAAAGCGGCGTGGCTGATGTGGAGTGAAGCCACGTTAATGACAACGTGTACAACCATTGGAGATGTGAGCAGGACAGACGGAACAATTGATGGAAAAAGTGTGGACTTTATACCAGTTTTTAAATTGTGTTGATAGGCCACGTAAAACCAGAGTAGTGATTAAAAAAATGCAATGTTTGGTTTTCTTCCTGAATACTATCGTTGTTTATATTTACTGCGGGAAGAAACGATAAAAACGGCGTTTAATAAGAAAAAAGACTCGAAAGCGCTCTCCACCTGTGAGCAAAAACAACCCCCACCCCCTCTTCCTTTCCTATTCGTCCAAAAAAGTACGATGTCGACCAATCAAAAAATGATATGGCAACGTGGCATCTAGTTGTTAAGAAACGGGGTGAAGTTTTAGGAGTGACGGCGGTGTTTTGAGATGTGAGAGATTTGAGACGTTTAGCGCAAATCTTGTGTAGTTAGTGTGTAGTGTAGTGAATAGTTTTGTTGTTTGTGTCAGAACAAGGAAGCGACTACTGAATGTTACAGGTGTTACAGGAGTGATCTGCTGTTGTCAGGCCTGCAGGTATCAGGCTGTTGTTCTTCTTTATCTCATAGTGGACAGAAATAATTTTTTGGAGTGGCACAAATAATTTGTGCACTACACAGGTCAATGAATAGATTTTTTTTTCATGGTAAGTGGGCTAAAGCAGTTAATTAAAAGTAATCTAACATAAATGTAAATGCTGTAATTTGATTATTTTAATAAACCATGTAACTTGGATGGATTAGATGCCGGCGTGACCACAGTGCACACGTCTGCTGTTGCTCACAGTGGTCCAAGGGACCGCTCAGGGAGTTTGTGTGCTCGCTCAGACAAGTGAAAAATTAGAGGGAACATTGGTGGTAAGGACCCATTAATTACCCACAGCCATTCTCCACAGTCACTTGTGTTACCTCTGCATCAGTATAGGAAGGAATCAATACGGTCTGTTGATCCAAACTGGATTTTACTGACTTCTGGGTGACGTGTCAAACGCCAGCTAGTTAGCTGATAGCTAAGCCAAGCCAGCACACACAGTTGTAGTCTAATTTTTATCATAACTCTTCTCTGTTCTTCTCTTTGTCTTAAACAATAGGTTGGCTGCAATGGTTTCACTATAGAGGATGATGAACTTTCCCACTTGGGTACTGCAGTCTATCCAGAGTAAGAAAGAAATGTCACGCACATGCATATGAGCACTTTTTGATTGATGACCCAAAGGAATGGGCATAACTTTTCTTCATAAAACAATAATATATGACAATAGGAAGAGAAAGCAAAAGTCCAAGAGACTGGCTCAAAGGTCATATGGAAGTAATCAAACTATGAAATGAATTGAAATGAGCTTTAAAGTCCGAAGAGACAGTGTTACAACAGCGCGTGCTGACAACTGGAGGGGAAAAGTGAACACAGGAAGTAGAAGAGCTAAGTGAAACTGATTTTGGGATTTCCTTAAAAACAGGAATTGACTTAAATACAACCCCCACACCATGAAAGGTTTTATGAACACATGTAAGGTTTCAGCAGCACATATACTGCAAAGTACTTCCTTACATAACTCTACCTACTGTTGTGTCTCAGTGTTTTGTTTTGTTTTGTTTTTGATTTCCTGCACTTTGTGTTTTCTAATGACTTCTATGGATGTCAGACTTTTTATTTAGCTTTAAAAGGCAGTTTGTTTGGTTTGAAGTCACCAAAGGCCTAACTGTCCACAGGCAGCAATATGCATGATCTGTTAATGTCAGTTCACCTAGTTATTTATACTGTAGAGTAGTTCATCAGTGCAGCTGGCTTAAAAATTAGGATTAGCAAAGAGTGGTGCTGGTTTAGCTCACTGGATTGAGCAGGCAACCAATATGCCATAAGAATAATGCAGAGGCCTGGGTTTGAATCCACCACTAAAGCCATTTTCTTATTGTCTTTCTCCCAGCTTACCTGTCCTCTCTCTAATGTCTATAGGATAAAAGCTTAAATCCCCAAAATATGTAAATTAGCTTCGGAAAACCAAATCAGCATAACAATGTGATGCTAGAAGGAGAGGAGAGAAGAGAGGAGGATGAGTATACCGCCAGGACTTTTCATTTGAGCAGGGTTGTCAGTGACTTTGCTGAGTGCAAGACCCAAAAGATGAAGTTCTGATGGGCGAGTAATTTGTGTTTTTGTAAAGGATTTTAAATATTGTTACCACATGTTGAACACTCGTACTGTAATATGCGCATATGTAATACATGAGGAAGCTGGTCAATTGGAAATGATTGCTGAATGGGGAATTCTAGGATGGGGCTTCTTTGGTACAGTGACTTCATCCAGTCAGTCTGCAAGGACCTGCGGTTTACGGGCTTCTCTGGTTTGTTCCATGCTTACAGACATTGCAGTTGTCCTTATTTTACTTTAGCGAGCTAAATCTGTTTTTGGCTTGTGGTAACCTATTTGAAAAAAATGGTGGGAGTTTGTGGCACAGGCTTAAAAAAATGTGTCTGTTGCCCTGACTTCTGACTGCAGTTGTTGTTCATGATACTGATGAATAGCTGGATTATTGATTATTGTTATATGCTTTTTTCCAGCATGCAGCCCTGGTAATAACATATGTCAGTGTCATGCAAGAGCTCTGTGCAAGCACAGTTTTAGCCTTGTAGTAATACCACTTAAAAATAGTGAGTGATCATGCAAATGCTAGGAGTAATACTAAGCCTCAGTTTTTCCTTCTTATCCATAGTAAGAAGGGTTCGCTTTTGTTTAAATCACTTTCTTTCTTTTGATATCTTTCTCTCTGCACAGCATGGCCCTGATAAACCACAGCTGCCTTCCCAGCGTCATAGTCACGTACAAAGGGACATCGGCTGAAGTTCGGGCAGTGCAGGACATGAAACCTGGAGATGAAGTGAGGAAAAGAGACAGCTGCTATTAGAGGGGGTTGGGTTTTGATCTTTTTTTTTTCTTTTAAGTGTGTGTGGAGGAGTTGGCTGGCCTTCCTATGCTAGGGCAGCACATGCTAGTTATGTCAGAGTTATTTGTCAATGGAAGATTGACTGAACAACTTTTAAGTTGGTGAGAAACTGATTTTTTTTATGTTAAAAATTAAACTGTGCAATCGCAACTTATTATAATCACTTAACATTAATGCTAGAAACAGGGAAAAGAGCTAGCCTGGCAAAGGTGAAAAGGTACAATTATAACAATAAAGTTTATTTCAACTGAACTCATCTTGTTTGTTTTATCAGCATAAAACTCTTAGAATGACAAGTTACAAGTACATTACTTAAAAAAAGATCAAAGAAGAAGAACAATGTGATTGACACACCAGTCTAAAAATTGTTAAGGGAAAGGTAGAGAACAGCAACATCGCTAATGAAAAGCACCATGTCAATGATAGGTCAGTGTGTCAAGAGAAGCAGGAGATCTGGTTTGAAGGAGGGATGCAGCAGCAGATTTCAGACGGGTTATTTTTAGCAAAACCTTTGCCCTGCGTCTTAGGAGCTATGTGGCAACAAGGAAGAGAAAAAACAATGTCAATGACAGAGAGTGTGCTTTATTTTGAATGTGTGTGTTAAATCCCCTTATAGGTGCTTATCAGCTACATAGACCTCCTCTACCCAACAGATGACCGCAATAACAGGCTGAGAGAGTCCTATTACTTTCTCTGTGACTGCCAGGAATGTAAAAGCAAGTCAAAGGTAAGACCTGGTAATATGTAGAATGGAGATTAAAGCCAAAAATTAATAATATGCATCATTTGGATGGGTGCACATGTAAGAACTGGGAAATGCTACATGCCACAAGGTATGTACTCTCACCGGCCACTTTATTAGATACACCTGGCTAGTACTGGATTAAATCTCCTTTTTCCTTCAGAAGTGCCTCAATTCCTCGTGCCATAACAAGGTGCTGGAAACTCCTCAGAGATTTTGGTCCATATTGACATGATGGCAACACACAGTTTCTGCAGATGTGTCCACTGCACATCCTTGATACAAATATCCTGCTCCACCACATGTCTAAAGGTGATCTGTTAGACTGATATTGATGATTGTGGAGGCCATTTGAATACAGGGAACTCATTTTCATGTTCAAGAAACTAGTTTGAATTTATCTGAGCTTTGTGACATGGTACATTTTCCTGCTGTAAGCAGCCATCAGAAGATGGGTACACTGTGGTCATGAAGGGATGGAGATGATCAGCAACAATGCTCAGTTGGTACTAAGGGGACTGAAGTGTGCCAAGAAACTACCCCCCACACCATCAGACCACCAGCAGCCTGAACCATTGAACCATTACTTTCATGTTGTTTAGATTAATTTCTGACGAAAACATCTAAATGAAATTGAGACTCATCAGACCAGGCAACATTTTTCAATTTTCCATCAACAAGGTATTTTCACCTAGAGCACTGCTCCATTTCACACAATTCTCTATAAACCCTAGAGATGGATGTGTGAGGAAAATCCCAGTAGATCAAAAATAAGTCCTTTCTTCCCCATTCTGATGCTCAGTTTGAACTTCAGCTGGGCATCTTGACCATGTCTACATGCCTAAATGCACTCAGTTACTGCTATGTGCTTGGATCATTAAGATATCTGCATTAACAAGCAGGTGAAGAGGTGTACTTAACAAAGTGGACAGTGAGAGTATAATTTAGGAATTTGGAAAGCATTGTTTTGACTCTCACGCTCTCTCTCCTGTCTTCATCTATAGGACAAGGCAAAGTTAAAAGTACGTAAGCAGAGTGATTCCATTGAGCCAGATGTCATCAACAACATGGTTCGTTACGCCCGGAAAACTATCAGAGAGTTCCGGGAATTCAAACACACAAAGAATATCCTTCAGTATCAATAGATATCGTTTTGTGCCTTCTACATTGTATCGTAAACTTCATAAGGACCAAAAGGTGAAGAGAACTGTCAGAGTACTGTCAACAAGTTGAAACATATCAGCAATAGTTCAGCATTCAAGCCTAAGTTCCACATTTTCCTGCTTTATTCCAGTCAGTATATTATAATTATTGTCTTACAGATGAAATAGCTGCTTGACATTTATCATTTTTAAATAATTTATTTAGCTACTGCACATTTTTACCAGCAGCAACACCATGACCGACGGGAACTACAACAACAACACATTTCTGTACCTTAACACGTTTATATGACTGTTTGCCATAAAGATAAACCCTGATATCAAAGATAAAGTCACAAAAGTTAACAAGCGTTTAACTGGGAACAAAATGAGGATTGGAGATTTACACAAGTACTGAGTTGTGACCTTCTGAGGTGGAATTCTTCTGTCCCACAGAAGCCCATTTGAATCCTTTGCCAACTATGAGCTTGTAGCCTTGACTCAGTGCCACCCCCTAGTGAGTTGCTGGAGATGTGCGAGCAGAGCCTGGAGGAAATGGGAGCCGTGTTTGATGACTCCAATGTGTACATGCTCCACATGATGTACCAAGCCATGGGGATTTGCATGTACATGCAAGATCTAGATGGAGCTATCAGATATGGCGAGAAGCTTCTCAAACCTTACAGGTATTAACATAAAAACATGTCCCCCCCCCCTCTGCTGTTCTTTCCAAATGTATTTGTTGTTGCTGTGTTTTTGTTGTTTGTTTTGTTTTGGAGGGTGGGGGTTGTTGTTGTTTTTTGGGTACTTAAAATTAGTCAGATATTACAGACTGTATTCCTGCAGGTTTCTTTATTCTGGGTAATGTGTTCATCTAAGTTTATTTGTGCCTTAATCTTCTATTTGTTTACATCAGAAAAATCTAAATATGAATGAATTATGCTCAACTAAAACCAATAAGCCACCATACATAAATACATAATTTCAGCTTAAAATCAGCCTTTTTCAAATCGCTGCATTTTATCAACCGTTATGATATTAGCTCATGTTTAAAAGCATTTTTCAAGTAGTATTTTTATTCCAATCTCCCAAAAGCTGGTATAATTTTGAAAATTTGCAAAGTTTGGGGGTTTTCTGTGTGTTTTTTTACTAACTGTACTGCATCTAAAAAGATCGGTGTTATCTTAGATGTGTCTTTTTTCTTCTTCTTTCATTTGCTTATGTGATCTTGGTCCAATGCAGTCATCTCTATCCACCTTACTCCCTTAATGTCTCGTCCGTCTACCTGAAACTGGGCCGATTGTACTTGGGACTAGAGAGGCAATCAGCGTGCACCAGCGCTCTCAAAAAGGTAACATTAGACTGTCTAAATACGAAATAAATACTAACCAGTGAACAACTATTAATAAGGTAATAGCAATATTTTTTCTATTACACTGCCTGGCCAAATAAAAGTCACCAGCTGGATTTAAATAAACTTAAACAGATAAGCACTTATCTCTGTATAATTACTTGAAGTGATTGAAATGTCTAGGCTAACCCTAACTAACTCTTATTTCTTAAAACAACCAGGTCGGAAATGTATAATTATGTTTAATAGTAAAATCAAGCGCATTTCTACATTCACAATGTGAAGAGAGAAACAGGAATCAAACGGCTGTGTAGGCCTAAGGAAACCACTTATCAATTGGTTAATTAGAAAAGATTGGATCTGGAACAATAAAGGTCTTATGAGTCTGGCTTTACCCTGTTCCACAGTAATGAGGCATCAGGATAAGAAAAGAAGCAGATGAAGTGATGCACACATTATGGCTAGTGCCTACAGTACAAGCCTGTGGGGGGCAGTGTTAGGATTGGGTTTACTTGAGTTGGTCAGGTATTATGTGCCCAAAAAATGAGGTCAGCTGACTACCTGAATATAGAAAAGTGTTCACCTTCAGTATACCTACACATTGAAATAACATACATACAGCAATTGTGTGATGTTAATTAATAATAAATTTACTTGCATTTCTACAGGCAATGGCTATAATGGAGGTGGCTCATGGGAAGGATCACTTTTACATTGAAGAGCTGCGTAAAATGATAGCACAAAAATAAAGAGAACAAGAGAGAAATACCAAGACTGATCCATAAGGACTGCATACACTTTCCAAACTTTGTCTTATCCAAATAATTTATCTTGGTTTTTTCAGGAGTATGTCTTCACGGTTATTTATCCTGCATCTTCCTATCAGTTAGACGCAGGATACTTTTGCAACAAGCAGGTATTTATTGTGGAATTTGCATGAAAATATGACTTTGTGGAAGGTGTTTTGTTTTTTAAATCAAGTAAATAACTTTGATTTGGCTTGAGACTACAGCTGTACTTTGTAACCCAAGAGTTGAGTTGTTTATGGAGGTACGCAAATAGGAGGATCAATGCGTCATGCAATCAGGAGAGCTGCATCACCATATGGGGCCTGTTAAATAAAATTAATGTATCCCTGTGATGGTGGATGCTTCAGCACCTCCTAGAACTCCTTTTATCTGATGTTGATGTTTCACTGTGATCTCGATGCTGCACTTTTAAAGAAAATAAGGCTTTATTGCATAATGAGCAAGTACAACAGCTTCAAACATGTCTGGGGAGAGAAAACTGAAAAATGCATATACAAAACATATGTACACATATTGAAATGTATTTAGAAGTTCTGCCAAAAAAATTAAAAAAGACAACTTGAGGGGAAAAATTAAATATTAACAAACAGTGGAATGCTGTGTGAGAAAATACTGTCAAAGAGAACAGGAGTGCAATAAAACACTTAAATGTCAAGAGAGCACGAAGCTTATATTTATCAGAGAATATATACATTGAAAAAAATTTTTAATCCATGCATAGTTTACTATGTTGCGGTATTTTAAGGGTACCAAGTCAAGGAAGGAAACTATAAAAACACTTGCAGAAATCTTTTTTCACATGCCCATTATGTACAGAGTTATGCTGGACATGGCTGGCTTTGCATTACAATTCAGAGAAGCAGGAAAACATATTTAATGCAATATGGGAAAAAAAATCATTCAGAACGCAATTTTACAAACAGGACATGGCAACACATTTTTCTTCAGCTGGGTTTGGATACGATTATTAGAATTTCTTTGTTTCTACAATGAAACCTAAAAAGTAATGAATTTAGCCAAAAACCTAATCAGTACAAAGAGTGTATCAGCCCATCAGCTTCTCCCCGTAGTTACATATTACTACAATAAGGCACAATGACACATTATACACAGCACTTGCTGCATATGGACAAAGTTGTATCACCAATTCCAGAGTTTTGAAATGTTTATGATGATAAATGATACATATATATATATATATATATATATATATATACACACACACACATATATATATATAAAATTCTTTAGATGATAAAGAATTGCTAAAGTGTACTTTGTTTGTCTGCCTGAAAGGAACTTAATTGAAATGCCTCCTCACAAAAACACATTGGAGTTTTTCCAAAAACTTAAAAAGAGTTCAAAAGATCAACATGGTTGCCATGGCAAAGGTGACCACAGCCTTTATAGAAATAAATAAAAAATTTCTTACAAATTTGAAGTAAATACTTGCTGTATTAAATCAATACAGGAATAGGATCATTTTAGAACAGCGATTTAAGAATACTTTTGTTTGGCAAACTCTTTCAGAGTATAGCAATAATACTGCTGCCACCTACTGTTCATGCAGCATAATGCCATTTCTAATGATGGCTAAATGAGAAATGTACCAGTGGTGCGATATCTCCTAATTGAAACTGAGATTTAATTTCTCTAGATACTTCTTAAGAAACCTGAAGCTGAAAAAACCTGAAGGAATATGCATGTTTCACACAAAAAGTCCAAGATCAAAGGGGGAGAAGGAACAAAATTTGAAATACACCGATTAGGAGAAATGGCTGTCAGTTTCTATACAAGCCCACCAGATCCGTTCCTCCCTTGAGGTGAGTTTTGGGTTAGAATTTACATACAGATGAAGTGCCACACAGAAAACACGAATCTCTGTTCTTCCTTCCCTCCAGCTACCAGTATACTGTGTTTGTTGTACTGTCCTCATGCTGACTTTAAGTACTCCGGAGCAGCCGATAGGTGCTCGGGTTCAAATAAGGCGGGAGTTCTTGAGAAACTGGATAAGAACCTGGTGGACAAACTTATACTGGGATATGGTCTGTACCATTAGCATCCTCTGCTGCCTCAGCTCTGATAGCATTGTGGGAACCTCCACGGGCTGAAGGGGAGAGAAGAAAAAAGAAAGAAAAGGACAACAGTGAGAGCCGGTCAAATGTTTTTGATTGAGGTGTAACTTTATGTAGGAATAAAATTAGATAAAAGTGGGATTATGTATATCTTGCATGTAAAATATCCTAATTTACCAAGTTAAAAACATGCTTCTAAGGGATGCATGTATCCTGCGACTGTCAAAGAAAGTCAGGGACTCTAAAAATGTTCTATACCTTCACTAAATTTTAAATTTGCAGCCCCTTAAGGAAATCATCCACACACCTCATTGTGCTCCAAACACCTGATCATGAGCTCAGTTAGGATGACCACTCCAGTTCGACCTACACCGGCGCTACAGTGCACCACCACAGGTGGATTGAGGCTCTTTGAGGTGTCCAGCATAGAGTTAGTGTGTCTCCTCACAGACTGGATCTCCTCCAGATATGCTTCAGATAAGAAAAGTCACATTGATGTCATGTTTAGTCTTTATGCTGGCTCTGTCCTTACACATATCTGATAAAGCATATTTTTAATAAATGACGGGGCGGCCGTACTTACAGAGAAATCCCAGTACATATTCAGGACAGCCCTGCTCAGGCCAGTCTGTGTATTGCAGATGCCAGACCGTCCTCTCCTGGCCAGACAGCAGGTGTTTAACCTTCAGCCCCGTAGTGGCGTAGCACCCTGAGTCCGTGCGAAATTTGGTGGTCACCTTGAACTTGCCGTGAGTGGCTGAGTTGTGTTTGGAGCCCAGTTTAGGCCAATAGCGATGACTCTTGGACCTGCCGCCCTCCTAGATGAAAGGACGACAAGCGCCAGATGAGAAGTGATTCGTGGGTGATGGGAATGAAGAAAAGAAGCAGATGAGGCAAATTAGATGTCAACAACGAGTCCTGGCCCTTAGAAATAAACCTAAAGTCACAGTGACACAAACTCACCACAGTGTCATTTCTCTCACAGACAGGAAGCTTAAAAAAAAATCCACATCTGTGTGTATGTGTGTGTCAGTGTACCTCCTCGGCAGTAACCATGGCGATAACGTTGACCCCCTGCTCCCAGACCATCTGCCAGAAGTCAGCACAGGTGTTGGCTAGTGGACCCTGGGTAGCAATGTAGTGCCATGCCTCCCCTCTGATCATGACCTGGGAAGACATGCAGAATCAATTAGTGGATATTACAGTATGCAGTGCATATGCAATCAGCCTCAAATATACAAACAAACGCTTTTTTGTTTATCAAGAAATTAAGCCAAATGAAAGAAAACAAACACAGGAGCAGGTCTAGTAATGAACAATGTCTGCAAGTAGCATGGGGTAAATGGAAACATTGACAGGTAGCTAAAAGTAAATGACTGGCAGTTTAGATATTCAACATACAGTCATGTAAAAAACTAAGCACACCAACACTGCTTCAGTAAGATTAAAAATTGGAAAGTTGCAGCCAGGTGCTGCTGATCAAATGCATTTGATTAAATGATCATCAAGTCCAAGAGCTACATCTCAGACTCTTAACATGCTAACTAAGGCCTTTAATGTTAAACTTCACAACAGTACAATTAGAAAAAGACTGAATAAGTATGGCTTGTTTGGAAGGAATGATAGGAGAGACCCTCATCTCTCTAAAAAAAATAATATGGAAGCATGGCTTAGGTTTGCAAAGTTGGACAGATGAGACCACAGTGGAGATGTTTGGCCATAATGCAGCAACACCTCCAGCACAAACACCACTGCCCACTGTCAAGCACGGTGGAGGAGAGGTGATGATTTGGGTTTATTTTGCAGCCACACGAAAAGAAGTATTCTAGAGTCAAATCTGAAGTCTGTCCGACAGCTAAAGCTTGGCCAAAAACTGGGTCAAATGTGACAAAAAGCCAAAGCAGCAAATCTACAATCGAATGGCTGAAAAAGGAAAGAATCAAGGCGCTCCAATGGCCAAAAGTCCAGACTCAAACCGACTAAAGTGCTGCAGTAAGACCTTCAAAGAACTGTGAATAAATGAATGCACACAACCCTGAATGAACTGAAGCAGCATTATAAAAAAAAGAGTGGACTTAAATTCCTCCACAACAATCTGAGCAACTAATTAAAGCCATACAGAAAATCATTACATTCGTTCTACAAGCTACTGAATCATGAGATGTACCTAGAATATCACAGAACTGTATAGAGTCTAGTGAAAACTATTTATTTATAAAAGTACAGCCAGCGTTTAAAATTGCTGAGTATAAGTAAAGTTTAACTGTTGAAAATGTTAGACTGATAATAATCAGCTGCTAAATAGAATAAAGGTCGATTAATAGAACAGTGGAAGTAAAAATAACTGATGAAAGCTAATGGCTGAAAAGACGGTACGCAGTTTATCGTAAATGATTAATGGCAGACTGATGCGATTGCTCAGAGTAAATGGCAAGCTAAAAGGAGTCCAGGTCAGGTTTAAAGTCTGTCTTACAGGGCAGAACAGAACTGACAGAAACCAATGTATTAAAGTCAATGACTGTATATAAACTATAAATAAAAAATAGTGCTGCCTCCTCACAGAAGTTCAGCTCACCTACAGACATCTATAATATTCACAACCACTGGAGGGCAGTGTAAACACCTGTTACTTTTATCCACAGCGGGATCGCTTTTCTTTCATTTATAACTCTATTAACTCCTTATCTCTAGTTTTCTTCCATTTCCCCTTCCTGATAACCACAAGACCACAAATAACACTTAAATACGTCCAATCTTTAGCTCACTCCGACCACAGAAACTTCAGTACTATTACATAAAGGGCATGTCTCAGCTGATTTCTCAGGCCACCTCGTGACTATAAACACTGTATTAAGAGACGGATGGGGAATAAACAAGGTCTTTTTGTTCTGCGGCAACCACCTTAAATGACAGGGGAGTAAGAGGGTTACACTGTGGTAGGCAGCGACTCAGTGCTGCTTTGGTGCACAACGTACACATGGCATGCAGACACACGCGTATGCACAAGCTTGCATACACATGCTGTTTGCAACTAAACATGAATAAAGAGCCAGTGAGAGCGACTCAGGTTGTTTAAGAGGGTTTTGGAGTTTGGACAACATTCTTTGGGAATTCC